GGTGTGTGGGTGTGTGGGTGTGTGGGTGTGTGGGTGTGTGGGTGTGTGCGTGTGTGCGTGTGTGGGTGTGTGCGTGTGTGCGTGTGTGCGTGTGTGCGTGTGTGCGTGTGTGCGTGTGTGCGTGTGTGCGTGTGTGCGCGTGTGCGCGTGTGCGCGTGTGCGCGTGTGCGCGTGTGCGCGTGTGCGCGTGTGCGCGTGTGCGCGTGTGCGCGTGTGCGCGTGTGCGCGTGTGCGCGTGTGCGCGTGTGCGCGTGTGCGCGTGAGCGCGTGTGCGCGTGTGCGCGTGTGCGCGTGTGCGCGTGTGCGCGTGTGCGCGTGTGCGCGTGTGCGCGTGTGCGCGTGTGCGCGTGTGCGCGTGTGCGCGTGTGCGCGTGTGCGCGTGTGCGCGTGTGCGCGTGCGCGTTGCGCTTGGAACTGCTTTGGCGCGTGGGGCGGGGTGTCGTGGGCGTGGGCGCGGGCGTGGCCGTGCGCCGTGCGCCGTGCGCCGTGCGCCGTGCGCCGTGCGCCGTGCGCCGTGCGCCGTGTGCGTGTGCGTGTGCGTGTGCGTGTGCGTGTGCGCGTGCGCGTGCGCGCGCGCGTGGTGGGCATGGGCGTCTGCGTGTGCGTGTGCGTGTGCGTGTGCGTGTGGGTGTGGGTGTTGGGTGTGGGTGTGGGTGTGGGTGTGGGTGTGGGTGTGTGTGCGTCGAAGTGTCGAAGTGTCGAACCCAAATAAGCCGGTAAAACCCAACAGCCTCGGAACCCCCTGCACCCTGCCGGAATGCTGTTCCGAACCACCCCAGAGCCAATTTGGGCAATGACCCAAAGTTTTCAAGCTGCTCGGGGAAAACGGCGGATTGTGGAGCCCTGGACAACCTGCGTGAGCGGGGCTTTGAGGATTTCATGGTGTCTTTGATGGGGAACGCACTGGTGAGCTGTCTTTCACTTGTCTCTACATCCTAAGAAAGTTTGGAAACCGTACTTGGCAGTTGGGGGAGTCCCAAGACAAACGCGTCCGAAGCCCAAGAACTTCAGGTTGGAACACATTGTGTGTGTCCGGCGGCTCAGAGGGATTCCCAGCAACGCTGGGAAACCGGGGAATGGGGCTACCGAAAGAGGATCCTCCAAAAACATACGAGGTGCCGGAACCTGTCCGGCTCCAATTTTTGAACGCTCGCCTCCACCGGCTCTGCAGGCACCACCTCCGCCTTGGGCGCCTCCCGCTCCTTGGCCTCTGGTGGAGCATGCGATGTCTCAAATGTAGTGCTGGACCAGTCCACTTTCCATCCCTTTGTGACTGCAAAGGACCCCTCTCAGGAGGCCTAAGAATTGCGTTTGAACAGCTTCCAGCTTCTGCTGCTGCAGTTTCCCCTCGGAACAGCTCAGGAATTTGCTCATTGCTGTACCAGGACGTAGGAGCTTGGCAAAAGCAGGGAATGCACAGAATCGAGCAACATCTACAATCAAAAATTTCTGTTGAAGGCTATCCAAAACCCACCCACAACCATTTCAGGCAAGGGGGCTGTCCCCTCTCCTACTGGCACCATGAATCTACCAGTCTCAGAGCATCTCTCCCCTGCAAAAATAGTGCTAGGCTCAAAAGAAACAATCCTCAAGTTCATTGACAGCCTCCAAATGGCTTTGTCTCTTACCAAGAGAACCCTCAAAGTGGATGGTAACCCGTTGGTGTCCCTTCAAACCCATCGCAATGGACCGAGCAATTCATGATGTGTTTTTGTTTCCAACCTTTCGGAACACCCAGAGTAATCAACCCGTCCTGTTCATAGAGGGCGTTCCCCTCCAAAAGCGCCGCTGAAACGAGACCCCTCTATTGCTCCACCAAGAATTTATTTCATCCGGCGTTCCCAGAGAGCCCGGGCTCCCGATCCGCGAGGCGTGCCTTGGGGGTGGGCTGGCCCGGCTCGGGCCGTGTGACCGGCCGCGACACGGGCTTCCGAATCTCGTCCTGCGCGAAGCGGCCGAAGCGGTCCAAGTGGGGTTCGCGTTGGGTGTTCGTCTCCAAACGGTAAGCCCTTTTTGAGGGGCGCCTGTTGCGGTTTAGTTCCAAAAGAAGATGGAGTTGCTGTTTGTTGTGTGGAAATCCCTAGCCCGACCTTCTCGAGAACATGACACCTGTGGGAGGCCTCTCTGGAAGACCATTCCGAGGGCCGAGAGGCTCCATGGCAATGTCGATTGTTCTGAACAACCAACCAACCAACCAACCAACCAACCAACCAACCAACCAACCAACCAACCAACCAACCAACCAACCAACCAACCAACCAACCAACCAACCAACCAACCAACCAACCAACCAACCAACCAACCAACCAACCAACCAACCAACAGCCCGCCGGCCGGCCGGCCAGCCAGCCAGCCAACTCATCCTGGCTTTAGGGCCCTCTTGAAACCTTGGCGAGTTGCTCAGGTTCGTTGCAATGTGAAAGGCTGAAGAAACAGCTTGATCTATTGGCACAGTATTTCAACCTGCGGAGGGGGTGAACTGTGCCTCGAAAAAGTGATGTAGTCAACTTTCTCGTAAGCCGCCACAAAGGAGCCCTGAGCTCAATGCCCAAAGGCAATGTTCAAAGGTCAGACAGTGTAGCATATTGCAAGGGAAGGTCCAGAATGTATGCTGGGGCAACTCGACCATCTCCATCGAGATGTCAAGGCGGGCGCTCACGTTCTCCTCCGACGCCACCTTCTTGACAATTGAGTCGCACCACGAACTCAACCGAGTCCGGGTCATCGACCTTGGCTTTTCCTCAAGGGGAGGGATGCGGGAATCGACAAAGAAGTTGCAGCGGAACTCTCCTACATGGTCACAAGCTCGCTCGACTCTTACAGTCTCAGCGGCGGTTACAAGAAGGCGAGCAGCGCGGTCAATTGGGTCGGCAATAACCAGTACCATGCGGATTCGTTCGTAAAAAAAGCTTGTTGGAGCTGAACGACGCAAACCAATCGCCGCCATTTCGCGCGCTCCGGAGCGCGCGTCAAGCCTGAGAGCGCGCGAATGCGAAAGAATCGGTTGCAGACACGTGTGCAGTCGCTTGACATTCTGCCGAGGACATTGCTAGCTTTTGTGCAGCGAGCATTGTGGTTGCGCGCTCGGAGTGCGCGACCATTCCTCTGTCAAGCGTGGACACTCCGGAGCGCGCGGAAATGCTTAAACATGCGCATAGAGTATTTGCAAGGGCCGCTGAGCTGAAGTGAGCATGCGTAGTCAGTCTGTCTCTCCGGAGCGCGTGCGGAGCGCACAAGGACACGGCTGCAGTAGAAAACTTAAGAAGCTTATGAGGTTGCTACGCTATCCAGCCACCACATTGCAGCTGCAACTTAGCGAAAGCCACGGTATCTTGCGCAAACGACTGTGGAGCGCGCTCTGGAGCGCGCAAGCGGCGGGTGCCTTGTAGCACGCGGGGGCTGCGCTGGCCACAACAACAACACAAAAGCAGCCGCTTTGGGAAACGCATCGTGGCGCCCCGTGATTCCCCAAGATGGTTGCGGTTGAAGGTAAGTCTCCACTTAAGTGTACCCGCGTTGCATGGGGAGCCAAGCCAAGCACGGTCAGCAGGCGTGACTGGATCGCTTACGGACAACCCATTGCCTGGCATCTGCCAGTTGACAATGCTGTTGACATGGTGCTGCTGTTTGGCCTGGCTTGGTGCCTGCAGCTGGTGGCAGCTTAAGGTGACTGTTGCTTGCGCTCCTGTGCGCAGAGCGCAGGCACAGTCAACCTTTGGCGCACACTTGCCGTCACTTGCCAGTCACTTGCCCTTGAATGCTGCTATGGCCGCAAAGACCTTTGCTGCATAGCCCCGCGTTGCCTTGAGAGCCGTGTGACTGTCTTGAGCAACAAAAAGCAATAGCGCTTGGCTTTTGCCTTAAAGCTGCAAACGAAAAAACACTCGTTTGCTGCCTTCCTGCGGATTTGCAGCTGGCTTTATTTTTCCATATTGCGACGCAGCGCCCGTGTTGCGATGCTTTTGCACAAAGTTCCCCAAAGCGAGGGCTTGCGCCCAAATGCAACAAGCCTGTGAAAGAAACAAGTCCGGGGATTGCGCTAGCTCAATCACTTGCGCGCTGTAACTTGGCAGCCGTGGCCAACTTTGCTTTGCCCACACTTGGCGCGAACCCGCTGCGGACAATGTACAAACCGTCGAAAATTTGGCTTCCTGGCATGGCCTGGCAAGACCCAAGAACACATCTGTAGCTACAGTCTGCTTAAAATGCACTTACGCGTTTTTTCTTGCTGATGCTTCCAAATATTTCTTGGAATTTCCACTTCCCCCCTAAACCTAAGTTGTCGATCGCGCAATTCGGGAAAAATCTGCCGAAGAGGCCATTTGCTCAAACAATTTTTTAGTTTTCAATTTGGCCCTGGAAAACATAGATATTCGACCCGGTTTTCTTTTTGCCCCGAGGTAGCGGTCCGTGTCGATCACGCGTCTGCACCTAGAACAATGTGAAAAGGAGTTGGTAAAGCACAGAAGGTGAAGGTGAAACAGGGCACGTCACTCTTTCCACTAAGAAGACAAAAAGGGGGGAACAACACACCAACCAACCCAGCCCACAAACAAAAAAACCCAAAAGGCTCCCCAACCAAAAAGGAAGAAGGAAGAGGACGTCAGCCCAAAGAAATGCCACGCTCACAGCTGCAAGAGATGGCATTAAGCAGGAAATGTAGATATTAGACCCGGTTTTGCAGCGTCAGAACTGGCGACCCAGCTAGCAAGCTGCGCTGCGACGAAGGCCTCGGTGGCAAAGCCAAGCAAGGCATTTGCTATCTTGGTGTTTACCTCCAGTGGTGTGTCCAATCCGCCACCGTGGAAAGCAGAGCGGCCGGTGCGCTTGCGTCCGCCTTGCCAGCAAGGGCCGTTGTGGTCACGGCGTCCAGGAGGGCGGCTTGGGGGGATTCGGGCCTGGGCATGTTCATCTCAGCGCTGCAGGGCGCCAAGGCTGACGCGACGCTGCTGGCCTCGTACGCCACGAACGCCGCGCTCTCCGCCAGCGAGACCACGCTCCAGAGCGCCCTCGACGCAATCCTCGCGGACCTGGCCGCCCTGCAGCTTTCCGGCAGCGGGGGAGTTGTTAACGCGCCGGCCTGGGCGGGGTTCACAAGTTGGGAGCTTGTTTGCGGAAGCAACGTCGTTCGCAACCTGCATCTGGCGGCTCCTCTCTCTGCTGCGCTGGCCAACGGCGACGACACGCTGAGCATCACAGCCGACTGCTACTCCACAGCAGCAGCGGACGCGGCCCTCTTGACGGCTTGACGGCGCTGCTGACCTACTACACCTTGGCGCAACCCGACAAAGTATCAACGGCCAACTGCAGGGCGTACGCCGACAGGGCGCTGCCCAAGCAGGGGTCGGCGTCAGCGTCGGGGTCCATCAATGGATTCCCGGCGCTCCCGCAAGTCCGGGCAAGGATCGGCGCCGGCGACGGCGTGGCCGGTAGTGAACTGACCAGTCCTCGCCAACAAGGTCAAAGTTGGAAGGACCCGCAGCGGCTTTGGCAAGCTCGGCCAAAGCAACAGCTTGAAGATGCCAGCCACTTTTTGTAGGAAGGAGAAAATTGTGTCCCGCTTAGATACCAGGAAACTGTTGCCCCTTGAGTGAAGAATGCAAAAAATCCAGGGGCATCACTAGGGTCGCGGAAGAAGCCCTCCTGTTTGGACATCAACCTCCTCTTTGCCAAAGGTCCCAAACCTTTTCCCTGCTACAACCTTCCAACTGGTCACAAAGGTCTCCCGCTCTCGCGCTCTCTCTCTCTCTCTCTCTCTCTCTCTCTCTCTCCCTCCCTCGCTCTTTCTCTCTCCCGCGGGCTCTCCCACAAGCAGACTTGGCCAATCCTAGTACATAATTTGTATTGGGAAACTGCAGAAACCAAATCAGCACCCGACAACATGACCACAGGAACTACCCCAAACCGATACTCATCATCCTGCAAAACCGAGAAGCAGTGGACCACCCCAAAATTGGCAATCTTTCGCACCCCATGGTCTGCCTGACAGCAACACAAGCCCTTGCCGGGTAAAGGGAAACCCAAAGAAAGCAAACCACTTTGAGGAGTCCCTTTTTGAGAAGGCTTAGGGTTCAAGGGAAACCCAAAGAAAGCCCACCACTTGCAGAATGGGAAAGGATCCTCTCGCGGAGTCTGAACTTCGACCCTCCGTCCTCCTCTTCCTCCTCCTCTTCTTTCCCCTGAACTTTGGGCGTCTCTGGCTTCTCCACTTCCGGTTCCTGCCAATCGGGCGCGGTTAAAAAGAACACGCCTCTTCGGATTGAGAGTGACCTCCATTACCCCTGCTCTTAACCCTTCCAAAACTTCCAACACCTCGAACCAAGCAATTGTGGGATAGAAGGGGTAAAGGATATGATTTTCTGGGGCATGCACGCGGCAAAAGCACGTGAATGGTTCCCTCATTCTTAGTTGTTCCACCACGCCGAAGCGGACCCTTTGCGTTTTGCGAACCCAAAAAGAGGGGAGGGAGTGCTCCGGCTCCGACTGGCTCTTGGGAGAAAGGGAAATGGAACCTTAGCCAAACAGACTAGCTGCGTATGCCCAGCCTGCGTCGTCCGAACAAGCGGTCGGCGCCGCATGCGGAAGGATGAAAATCTGATATGCTCTCTCTGAACTCCAGGCTGAGATGTCGTCCAGTCGCATGGATGTGTGCAATTCAGGCTTGATACCCCTTAAAAGGGAACGCACTTCGAAAGTCAAAGCCATTTCTGAGTCCTGTTCTGAAGCCATATCTATATTTGTGCGTCCTTGGCATTTTGTCGTTGACATTTAGTGGTCATCCCTGTGCCTCATTCGGAAAGACTAAATGATTAAACAATTTACAGTTCTTCCATACGCACACAACCCCATTCTAAGCACCGGGTGGTGAATAGTTTCAAAACTCTGAAATTGTTCCATCCCCTTTTTGTTATTCTTTGGGTAAACTAAGAATTACGGGCTGTTGATCGCACCCAGGTGACCGAACCTCACATGAGCAGAATGAGCAGCGCCCAACACCTATTGACTTCGGGCTCTACTAACATGGTTATAAAGGTGTGTAGGGGCTTTACTATAGGCACAAGTGAACCACGCTGCTCACACGGAAGTCGCTGCGCCTCTTCCTCCTGCTTCTTCGGCGTGTTGGGCTTCCGAATGCCGGGCGTCACCGGCACTGGCACGGGCACAGGCACCTCCTGGCGCGGGGGCCTTTTTCGGGTAGTGCCCCAAGGGACGCCGTAAAGAGGAAAGAAGGCTTTTTGCAGCAGCTCATTTCAGACTTTCGAAACTGCGGCATGAGAGCGGCAGCGTTGACAGGGCCTGACAGGGGCCACTACACTTCCCACCCATATGTTGTAACATTTACCGGAGAGCCGTCCCAATTTGCAGATGTCTCACGTTTGATCCTTCCAAACCCAAACTGGCAGCGATTTGGACGTTTGTTCCATGCGTTTATGGCTTGAGTTGCATCCCAGTCTGATGGAACCAGACGACAGGTGCATGTCAGCGGGCATCCCGGGGCCCGACATCATCCAAACTTGGCCTTTCCGCAAGGCCATGTTGAACGCCAAATAACCTGGATAGGGTGAATGTGGGTGTGTCGCTTTGCCTTTTACCAATGGAAGTGGAGGTATTGCGCGCTTGCGGACTGTCTTCTAAAGCCCTGTCAGCTTCCATTCGCAAGGGGAAAGCTTTGTCCATCTACCGTGGCCTGAAACACCTCAAACGCTCTCCACCAGCACAGCTTGAGGTGCCCTTCTGGCAGCTTCCATGTCAAGGAGGGCGCTTTCTCTGGAGGTTCCTCAGCAATCTCCGCCCCTTCCGCTGGCGCCTCCTCTGGCACCACCTCCGCGGTGCCGCCCCGCACGCGGGGCGCCCGCGGTGCCCGCGGGAGCTCCTCCTCCACCGGGGCCGGCGTGTCCTGGCCGCTGACTTGCTTGCTTGTGTTTGCCTCTGCAAGTTCTACAGACATCCACAATCCAAAATTCAGAAAACCAAAAGGAAAGCATGCGTGATTGTGTTTTCTGTTGCTTTTTTTGTGTGTCTGTGTGTGGTTTTGATTGTGAGTGTTACGGGAAACCCACCCCCTTTTTTGACACATGCCGGACCTGCCTTTCGGGTGTACCGTGAATCAGTGAGAGGTTGCCCTTTGCATGCGTGATTGTCTCTGTGTGTCTCTGTGTGTCTCTGTGTGTCTCTGTGTGTCTCTGTGTGTCTCTGTGTGTCTCTGTGTGTCTCTGTGTGTCTCTGTGTGTCTCTGTGTGTCTCTGTGTGTCTCTGTGTGTCTCTGTGTGTCTCTGTGTGTCTCTGTGTGTCTCTGTGTGTCTCTGTGTGTCTCTGTGTGTCTCTGTGTGTCTCTGTGTGTCTCTGTGTGTCTCTGTGTGTCTCTGTGTGTCTCTGTGTGTCTCTGTGTGTCTCTGTGTGTCTCTGTGTGTCTCTGTGTGTCTCTGTGTGTGTGTCTCTGTGTGTCTCTGTGTGTCTCTGTGTGTCTCTGTGTGTCTCTGTGTGTCTCTGTGTGTCTCTGTGTGTCTCTGTGTGTCTCTGTGTGTCTCTGTGTGTCTCTGTGTGTGTGTGTCTCTGTGTGTCTCTGTGTGTGTCTCTGTGTGTCTCTGTGTGTCTCTGTGTGTCTCTGTGTGTCTCTGTGTGTCACTGTGTGTCTCTGTGTGTCACTGTGTGTCTCTGTGTCTCTCTTGTGTCTCTGTGTGTCTCTGTGTGTCTGTGTGCGGGCGGTTTTTTTGGTGTGTGTGTGTGTGTGGTTTTGATTGTGAGTGTTACGGGAAACCAAAGGCAAAGCCACCCCCTTTTTGACACATGCCGGACCTGCCTTTCGGGTGTACCGTGAATCAGTGAGAGGTTGCCCTTTGCATGGTGTCAAAACAGGGTTCAGGTATAGAGTCTCGGGTCGCCGAGTCGCCCTCCGCCCCCCACCCCGCGCACGTCCCCAAATCCGCCTTCACCTTGGGCGCAGGCACCTCCTCTGCCACCACCTTGGCAAAGTTCGGGGGCGGCGGCGCGCGCCGCCGCCGGCCCCCGAAGATGTCGTGCAGCCTGACTCGCAAGTCCGAAGCAGGCGGGCATTTTTGCTGACCAAGCTCAACCCCTAAACAAAAAGGTTGGACGTAGCTGTCCACCATATGGTGGTTATTAGCCGCCTTGAACATGTCACCGGAGTGCAGTAGACTTTGGTCACCGACCCAATGACTGCTTGTGTCACTTTGAAGGGCATTCCGTTCGCATGACAGGCAACGAGCCAAAACCTCCTCGGGGGGACCTGTTCTTGGGGTTCCTAAGAGACCTCACTTGGGTTGGTGGATTTGGTATGTGACTTGGCATCTGAAGCATTGAAAGCACGCAACCCCCCCCCAAAAAAAAAACAGCATCCCGCCCCACCGCCCGCATCCCCGAAAATCAAATTTTGGCTCAGGTGAGGAGATTCCACTCACACGTGGTTGGTAGGTGGTTGGTTGGGCTTCCACCGAGGAGCAAGAAAAAGCCATGAACGGCGGTCCACATGGGCATAGTCTCCACTTAACTGCACGACTGGGATTCGGTTCACCCCACCACCAACCCGCGCTTGTTGCAACGTCAACATACTCTTCAACCTGCTATTGCTCACTGCCAATTAATAAACCCCCTTTCAGCAAACCCGGCTAGAAACAACTTCAAGAGCAAAACTCCGACCCCCTCCGACGCTTTTTGTGCGACCTTCCCAAGGCCTCCCTCTCCTCCCCCAGAACGAGCCTTCTGCGGGCTTGCCGGTCGTGTAGCTTGAGGCGCCAGATCTGCAGGTCCTCCGTGAGGTCCCCCAACGGCAGCTGCTGCTCCTGGGCGATCCTGCCACGAGCAGAGCTCCAAGAAGAACCAAGTGTGTGTTTATTGGTACCCCAAAAACTGGGTGGGTGGGAATGCAAAAGCCCACGTAGTTGTTTAAGGCTGAAAATGAAGGGATTCCGCTGGCAAATGACAAACTAAAACCAGTGGAATCCATCGAATTTTACCCAGACTGACCTGAAAGGACGCCCATGACAAGTCGGCTTCACACAAACATGTGGGATTTGGGGCTCCGGTCAGTCCCTCATCATGAGGTGCATTGCATCCCATGATGATTTACTTGTAAACAGACCTGTACTTGATTGAGCCTCTGATTGAAATTATTTCTGCCCATGATACAACTTCAGCAAATGTGGAAAAATGAATGGAACATGGTATGATCTCCTCCGAATACACTCACTTGAAACCTCAGCGTACGTTGGCCAGATTTTATCTCCAAGATCCCTCGACGGCCGCTCATTGGCAAAAGCCCGAGGCAAGCAACTTGCTATTCAGGAGAGATGGAGGTTGAGATGAATTGTCCTCACTTGAGAAACCATCCCGCGGAGTTTCTGGTAACATCCATGGTTCTGAGGGGAACTCACCCGCAGTTGGTTTCCTCTTGCAAACCAAAAAAGCTAGTTACCTTCTGCACCACCGGCGAAGCTGGTCTAATTTTCCTTTAACAGTGCATTCCCAATCACCAATTGCAGCCAAAGAGATTGATCATCTTCTATGTTGTTATTTGTCTGCTGAAACATGTACGAGTGCGCGAAACACTCTCTATGTGTATACATGTATATATATATATATAACATGTATACTAGGTTTGTATAAGTATCGACCTATAGACCTAAAAACATATATTGTATAACTCAGAATGTTCGACATGAACAAAGATTTCACAATCAAACACATGTATACAGTGCGAGGGGGAAGAGAAACATAACATACCCATGTGTAGTATAAGGCTGGGACCCTTAATGTGGCATATGAGTCACAATCAAAACCTGGTATTAAAGTAGTCTACCCAAATCAATGTAAGCATTTGTCCGAGGGCGAATATCCGCGCCGATTTCCTTTCTGACAAGGGGACTCTCCACTCAAGCTCCAAGACGCGCACAGGACAATGAGCGAGTGCCCTAGTGTTTGGGGGGGAAGTTGAGTGAGTGACCCATGTCCCGAACCCCGAATGGATCATAGACTGCTGGTAATTTTCTCCGAACTTTGTTTCACGTGTTTGTTTTCTGAGACCCTGCTTGGATTGGCTTTTGTCGGGGGGGAAAAAGGAAAACCCGCGCGTTGAGCATCGCGCCTGCCCAAATGTTCCACGAAGGCGCGATCAAGCCGCGCACGCTTGGCCACACTCATGGGCAAAGGGTCGGTGGCATGGCGGTTGTACCTCGCGTCGGGTAAGAATTGATTCCATGCCGGCCAAAGAGCGAACCCCCTAAAACAGCGCCCCGCAATTAAGATTGGGGCGTCCTTGACAACCGTAGGAAAGGACGCTGACCCCTGTCAATTTGTTGGGTCGATGGGATACATGCTACGCCGATCCTGCGTTTGAAACTTAGCTGAGTAGGGATACTCCCCTTCAGATGAACATAGAAACCAAGAAATCCAAATGTCTAGAATCTCCTTTTGGGAGAGACCTATTTTGGGGTTACTTGTTGGTTTGCAGGAGAGCAACCCCATTATCCATCATTGGGCGCCTCTGTAGGAGCCCGCCCCCCAATAAATGGGGCCGGGTGTTCAAACTGAAAATTAACCGAAGGATTCAGCAGACACATCCGTTGGTTGAGGAATCTCCTAAGCGGCGCTTCTTTGGGCTCGCGTTAATCAGGGGAGAGGGGTGGCCAACAATTTTCTTTTGGAAAATGGGTTGTCGATCCAATGCCGAAAGGGATGCACTAAAAATAATGCGGGAACATGACTTCTGGACCCTTTGGTGAGCATCATTTACAGGGAGATGGATGTTCGCCAACCATTCTTCAGGGATTTCCAACCGTAAAGATTCATGGCCGATTTGCTTGGGGTCTTGATGGACACTGTGGCCTATGGGTTGAATCTACCAACCGGAAGGTTTCACTCCAACAGGGGCTGGCTCCCTGTCGCCAAAACTCACGCTCCTGGCGTGGCAGCTCAGTGCGTTTGGACGATCCCGAGGCTGCTGTGAGTATCCCAAAGGCATGTACGTGTTCTCCCTCAATCGGCCGAAATTGAATGGAAGGCCCCCCAAGCACTGAACAGAATGGGGGCACCATCATAACCGGGTCAACCATAGACATTTCACCAACCCACAATTTTAGGGGAAAACAACACTAGCAATGGAGCCCTCCTGGGTTTTCAGTCACAGGACCCCTTGCGAGGTCGCAACTTGGGTATGTGTCACCACAGGACGGCCTCAAAAGTAGAAGGTGGTTTTCCTTTTGGTTCCCTCCAGACCAAGGTTAGTACCCTCAAAAATCACAATGCCCGGTTCGAGCTCGTTGAAAACACCCGCTGAGGTGGGTGGTGGCGGATGCTTGGTGGCCGTTGGGGCACGCCGCTCTGCCCTGCACCAACATGTTCGAGAGGTCGCCAATGGGCAGCTGGATCACGCCCATCTCCTCAGGCGAACCCCGAATTGAACGCTGCAATCTTGCCCCCAAATGGTGGTTTGGATTATTTGAGGGGCTGAACCCCTGTTCTTGTACAGGGCAAATGGGAAACCACTTCCTAGCCTCTAGACGCCAAGCCAAACCACCAATTGCTAGACGCACCCAAAACAGCGTCAAGAATCAAAGGGGCTTCTTCCTGCACCCATCTCAGCCAGGGCTGTCCACTAATGATCATCCGCACTCCAGATGCAAAAATTGGAACTGTGCCCCACGCACCACCCCCGCGCACCGAATCCCTGCCTGCAGCCAAACGTTCAGCGGCACTGTCTGGGACGCAGAAGGCGGCCGGTCTTCACTCGAGTCTGGCCGCGGCCGGTCGCCCTCCTGCGGCAAAGCTGGCTCAGTTTTGCAGGTTCCAAAAGTCAGCTTACCCAGTTGGCGGTTTGGATTCCGGTGGTTTGGGGATCCGCTGATACTTTTGAAACCAGAAGGGAAGGCACCCCTTAGCTGCCCAGCCACCAACCCAACTCATCAACTGGGAACAATGCCAAAAAATGTGGTATGGCGTTTCCTGAAATAACAACTATTGGGTGCATCACCTGTGTGGTGAAACCAACTCCGGTGTCTCCGAAAAACTTTGAAAAGCCTCACATGACTCCCTATGAGCATCACCCCTTTCCCAACCACAGGAGGCACCTGAAGCAAAATGAACACACCAGGTGAGATGGTTCAACCGCTTGAAGAGTACTTCGACCCAGGCGCTGCCCTCCGGTGAGCGCGGTGTGCGTTCTCTTTAGCCCAAGGGGCCAGGGTACAACCAAGGTACCACATAATTGTGGGCCTTATGTTCGGCAACGCCCACCCCCCCACCCCCCCACCCCCCCGCGTAGCCAATGGACACGTCAGCTCGATTCAATTGGGCCACAAGTTGCCAGCAACCGGAGACAATGTCTGCCGAACCAAGCACCAAGTCAAGGACATGCAATTGCCTCGCATAAGTGGGGTGTACAGAACAACCAACTGGGCATACACCATGCTGGCGCTGAAGAAATGGGGCTGCCTGTCACCCAAACTGCAACCATTGGAAGCAAACACCAGGAAAATAATGAAAAAAGAGCCTTCCTATCAAAAGAATCTTCGCGTCTTCGGCCCCCAAATGCTTGACATCCACACGCACACATACAAGCAACAAGAGACCTACGGACAAAATCCTTGTCTCGTGCAACTCAGGGCGTTGTCCAACAGAACGTTGAAATTCGTTGAGTCTACCCACCCCCGTCGTTCGCCAGCATAGGAGAGACTCTTGATTATTAGGTGTCATGGGCATCTACGCCTTGAGTGCTAGACCGGCATGAAGTTGGAGGAACACATGTTTTTTCTTCACCTAGATTCATCTCTTCATGTCATGTTCACGGTTTATATCTAAGTGGCCACTTAGCCTAAGGGACGAGCGACTTGGAGGAGTGAACCATCATCATTTGTCCTACCTTTAGCCCCCCTTGCACTAGTTCAGAGAGGTGAATCCGTCGGTGAAAGGCAAGGCTGGCGAGTGAGCGAGTGAGCGAGTGAGCGACGGGCGACCCACCGTCTGTCATTCCCTCACCTTCCTCTATCTTGTGTCGCCATCTCTCCTCTCTACATCTCTCCAGCGCCGTCTCTACTTCTCGCCGGGAGTGGTCAGGCGATTTAATCCGTGCAGAATACGTGGGATGCAACGCCGGAAGTACTGGTTGAAAAGAAAGAACGCTAAAGGCGAAGCTGCACAGCGACAACGCTCAAACGCTGGCTGTCCGCACTCTTGCGAAATGACCCTTGGTCAGCTTTACTAGACACATGTTTGATCTCCTGGCCGCGCTTGGCGTATGTCACTGGAGGTCTGAGCAAGCAAACACAAGCTGGCCTACAAGTGGGGAAGCTAGTGGGCCGAGAAGGCGTGACAAGGAATATGGAAGCCCAATAGCGAATCTGTTTGAGAAAAAAAGACCAACGACAAACAAGAAGTAACATGCAAACTGAAACACGAACAACGCATGAAACCAAAACGCGCCAAAAACAAACAACAAACGTCAAAACCACGCTGGGTCCAGCCGGATAATGTCGAGGCCGCGGAGGTCCATGGTCGCCATGTCGCTGAATGCAGCCGCCATCGTGGCCGCCCCCGCAGTGGCGCAGCCGATTTTCTGTGTTGCCTGGGAGGTGGATCGTAGCCGACATACCGGAAACCCATAGGGGCCCACACAAAACAGATCAAGAATAAGTCTGTTCATATTCTGGTTCAGAGGCAACAGGGATGCGTGACATGATCTCCCGCCCATGGGCCTTGGCCAAAGAGCCGAGCTTTCTTCCAGGTCCAGCCATAACCCTTGTGGTTGGTCGAACATGTCTAGGCAAGTTCGGTCAAACTACAGAGAGCAACCATTTGGACCACAGAAACCGACTTGTTCCTTGTGTGCGGGGCGTTGCCAGAGCTTCCAAAATTGGTTGATCAAGGTTCAAAGCCAAGCCTCAGTTGTTGTCCTAAAATTGCGGCAACCACCCTGAGTTGAAGTGTGTTTGGGGGTCCCCCCCCTATGTGATTTTGGAGACGATCGCGCCTGCTCTGGCGATGAATCCGGCCTGGGAGAGATGCTTGGCTGGGTTTCCACCTCCAAGATTCTCTGCAGCAACTCGTGTTTGTTCCTTTCCCAAACCATCCCCACCAACTTGTTCCACTTGACACACCGCCGAATTCCCCTGCAAATGCATAAACCTATTGGCAAATCAAAGGTTTGCACAAGATCTAACGGGCGATGATTCACCGGCAGAGCCATGAAAACGAAGACCCTCACAGCAACGTCTGCCAGTGTTCAGTTGATGGTCACTCGCCTGGCTTCGCCCATACCTAGCAGCGCAGCCGACCTGGGCAAGGGTGCTGGCGTCGAAGGGCACATGCGAACTGGGTGGCCACGTCTCCTGATACAAATGGTCCCTCGCAGGCAAAATGCCCCTAAAAACAGAGGCGTCACCAAAGTGAAAACAGAACTATGGATGTTCGCTGAAAGGATGCCCTTTGACCAACATGGACGTGTCCAATGTAGGCGAATAAGACTCTACCAGTTGGGATGGATGAACGTTGAATACCTGCATGTACAGGATTTTGTCCAACTACGGTACAATAGCCCCAACTTTGGTCTTTCCCTTTCAATGCCATCCAATCCCTAGTTTTAGCAAATGCCTGCATGATCTGAAGCGGACCCTTTGCTGGTTTGGCTAAGGAAGACACATGAACCCCAGAGTAGCCATAGGTTTAGCACCCTTGGTCGGCCGTGCATAATCTGCTAAATGTGTAAGGCGAGTTGTCTGGAAACCAAGTGCAGCGTCTGTGCCTGTCATGTTTGCATTTCTTCTCACACACAGTTGGAGGACAAAGCTCCGCAAAAATTGTGGAAGTCACATTCATGCATCCCATTCACAGCAACCTTACCTAGCGCAAAAAATCACATGCAAAAAGAGACATGTGTTGAAGCGAGATTCGGGACACCTACCAATGGTCCGCATGATTGGGCTTGGAGCGTGCCGTGCGGGGAGTCGGTTTGTTTCAGGAAACCCTGGTGTTTGTGTCATAATCAAACCCTCGTATTAAAGGGTTTGCGCTAAAATAGGAATCAAAACAAAGTGCTCGCGTGAGTCATTGAATTGAAGGAATCCGCTTGCAGGGTGAGCACATGAGATAGTGTGTTCACGTTCATCGCTCCAGGTAGTCCGATACCAAGTTGAACACAGGCCTAAAGTGCCAAAGGCGTCGCTCGACTTGGAAATACTGCAATAACACACAATCAAGCAAGGTCAGGGTGTCTACTAAAATTGGCAAGGGTTTGGACTTCTGCTTGCTGGTTTTGACATCCTGGTATCCGCTTTATGGAAAGCACCCAAATCAAGCAGGTTTACGCCCCCACTTGCCGTTTAATCTTCAGGAATCTGCAACAAAAAGGGATTCCCCTGCTTGAGGGGAGCATTACTCGTATGAATCAGGGCCACCCCTCCCACCTGCTCATGCGGCGCTCCGGCGAGGGCGACTTGCCTCGGCAGCGACCAAGCAAGCAAGCAAACAAAACCAATCCCCTCCCTTCGACACGGGCTGGGGACAACACCCTAGGCCCTGACAAGAATGGAAACTGCACAAATCCGACAATGGAAGCCGTTTTGCCCAAGGAAAAGCCCGCTGATTAGCAGGTTATGAGCCCAAAGGCGGCAAGATGATAGCCCGGAGGCGCAATGGCAAGGGCCGTGGACCAGGTGATGGTCATGAAGGAGATGGGCCAGGGGAAGAAACTGGGACCCCTCTCCCGCTGATGGACGCCGGCCAGGTCGCAGAGGAGCCGGTGATCGCGGAGGCGAGTTCGCAAGGACGTGATGGTCAAGAACAGGAGACGGGCCAATCGGGGCTCGGGAATGGGTCGCTGGAGGAGGGTCGGGGTCTGGAGCTGGTGGGTCAAGAAATGGTGGTCCATCATAGCGCTACAACGAGGACGCCGGCACCGAGGCGATCGGAAGATGTGGGGCCGAGGAATTTGTGGCCTGCAGTTTCGGCATCGGGGAACCCCTGGGCATCGTCTTCGGATCCTGGTCAAGGACAAGGAGAACTTCAGAGGTGGAGTGGGGGACCTCAAGGAGAACCGGAGGTGTATGGGCCGCTCTTCACCCGGGAGCAGTTGGAGTACCTGGAAAGGTGGGACAGGCCTGGAAGCCTGGTGAATTTGAGCTCGGCAACAGCAGCTCAGGAGCCAACACTGAGGAGGCCGGAGTTCCTGGAGAGAGAGGAGGCTACACCACAAGCAGGACCAGATGGAGGCGCTCGACATCCACGACGGCATGATCAGGTGCAGGAGTACCTCTTGATGGAGATACAGAGGCTCAGAGCTGAGAACGACAGGCTCAGAAAGGGCAATCAGTCTGAGGAGACCTACGTGACGCCAGACGTCGAGGTGGAGAAACGGGGACAAGCACGAGGGCCCGATCCAGGACATCGCGACGGAGAACCAGAGGAACGAAGACGAGAGAAAGGTCAGGAGCCTTCGGAGGAGCTGATCAAAGATGAGCAAGCCACGGATGGGAACGAGCTCAACATCATCTTGAAGCTCATGGAGGGCATGCAACAGATCCAGAAGAAGATCATGAACGGTGGCAACAGCCACACAGGTGAGGAAGAGAATGCGGAGGTGGTGAAGTCGGCGGTGGAGCTGCCGATGCTGCCGGAGCTAAGCGCGGACACCGGCCCGATTGACCTTCAAGATTGGTTGACGATGGTGGGCCCGGTGATGGCGGACCTCTCGGACACTAGCCAAGAATGGTGGGAGCTGATGCTGAAACACACCAAGAAGTGGTATGACAAGTACATGACGGAGCCGCCCTTGCAGAGGTTGCTGCTGACTCCAACACCTCCGAGTGAGGTGTGCAATGGAAGATGGAGGCGGGTGGAGCGTCGGGCGGTGACCTTGCTCATGAAGGCCTTGCCGGATCAGGTCAAGGAGGAGCTGATAGCGACTAAGAGCCTGGAGGTGTTCTCTTTGATCTGCAGGCTGATGCTGCTGTACCAGCCGGGTGGAGTGGCGGAGAGATCGGCCATTCTCAAGAACCTGGAGCAGCCCCAGGAGGCGACGAGCATTCAGGCGGCGGTTCAGGGAATCAGGAGGTGGCTTCGATGGAGGCGGAGGGCGGAAGAGATAGGCGTCTCGCTTCCAGATCCGTCGGTCTTGAACAGAGGATTGCAGAGGCTGACGAAGAAAGTTCTGGAGAACAACAAGGACCTGAACTTCAAGATCAGCCTGGCCAGATCAACCTTGCAGGTGGATACGGTGCCGAACTACAGCACCATCGGCACGTACTGCGAGCATCTCCTGTCGGAGCTGGAGCAGTTGGTCCACACGGAGAAGAAGGTCGCAAAGGCCACGGACGCCGACAGCAAGGTGAAGAAATTCGAAGGAGCTGGAGCTGGATATGGATATGGAGGTGGAAAAGGAGGAGAATCCCGAGCTCCAAGAAAGGAAGGAGAGGCGCGAGAGAGAAAGCCTTGCCGGTACTACCTCACGGATGTTGGATGCAGAAGAGGTCGGCAACGAACCTTTGCCCACGACGCGAAGGACGACAAGAACAGATGCTACGAGTGCGGTGCCACGGACCACTACCGCAAGGACTGCACAAGGAAGCAGCAGGAGAAGACACCGGGCAACAAGATGGACAAGAGTCCTGGGAAGATCGCCAAGGTGTCAGAGGTTGAAGATGAGGAGAACAATCGCCAGGAGGGCGATCAAGAGGAGACGTCATCGGCATCTATGGCTACCTTGAAGGGGAGCGCCAAGAACGCCAAGGACGGGAATGAAGGAGACGGTCTGCAATCGGTCTTGGAGGAGGCTGGAAAGATGCTGAGGTCCCTCAACATCAAGGCTTCAGCAGCGACGGATCGCAGAGAGAGGGAGGATCGGATGAACGATCTTCAGAAGCAGCTCGATCAGATGCGCAAGATGAGGGCTTTGAGGTTCGCGAAGGTGTCGAAGATCGACTACCAGCACGAGTACGGGCTGCTGGACTCAGGGGCTACGCACTCGATGAGGGGTGCATGCTCAGGAGACGACGTGGAGAACCTGGAAAAGATTCAGGTGGAGCTGGCAGGAGGAGAAAAGAAGGAGCTGCTCATGACGACCGGGAAGGTCATCATCCACGAAGACCGAGATGTGCAGCCCATCGCACCTTTGGGCTTGCTCATAGAGAAGATGGGATGCGAGGTGACGTGGACAAAGAAGGGAGCCTGCCGATTGAGGCACCCAACCATGGGCGAGATCCCGGTTCAAACAAATGCGGGTTGCCCGGAGGTGGAGAAAGGCGTTGCTCTTGCCCTGATAGATGCCTTGGAGGAGCTTGAGGAGGGAAGGGACGCCAAGCTGAACAAGATCAAGGAGGAAGACCGGGTGGTGGAGCTGATCAGAAGTGAAAGAGCCTTCAACGGAGTTCCGGGTGAGGTGATGGAGAAGGTGGTGGTTGCCCCGGCCAAGGACCTGAGCGGACTCCCCTTGAACAGATCCCGGAGGAGGAAACTTCAAGAAGGTTTTGTGGTTCACTTGTACGCCGGCGAGGAAGAAGGCTACACCCTCAGTCGTGCTCTTAAGGAGGTTGGAGGAGACAAGACAAGATTGGTGGAAATCGACCTAAAGAGAGGAGCCAATCACGACATGATGAAGGACGAGGTCTACGCGGCGTTGATGGGCGCGGCCTTTAACGGCCTGGTGCTTGGAGTCGTGGGAGGTCCGAACTGCCGCACCCGGAGCGTGCTACGACACTATCCTTTGCCAGCTGGAAAGCCAAGGCCGGTTCGGGGGGTAGCTCCAGAACATTGGTTTGGCCTACCAGGCCTGGATGAGGAGGAGAAGAGACAGGTCTGGGAAGACGACGTTCTCATGTACCGCATGATCATGCTCTACTGCGCGGCGGAAGAAGGAAGAAAGAATCGAGGACTTCGTGGTGCAGCGAAGACGGAGGAGGAGACTATGGCGGTGTGGCGGTCAAGCCAACGAGGGTGGTCACGAACCTCCAGCTGAGCATGCCGGCGACCCGGTCAACTACGGCGACCACAAGAGAGGAGTCGGCGGTGAGGTCATCGGCGACGTTATCCCGATGGGCACCGGGAATGATGAAGGAGGTTGCAAGAGCGCTGCAGGAGGAGGTCTTTGGAAGGCCTGAGAAGATGTGCAAGCTGAGTTGGCGTGAACATCTGCTACACGGACATACTCCCTTTCGCCGGGACTGCCGAGTATGTCAGGAAGCATCAGCAAAGGGGAGGAGACATTGTAAGGTCGACTATCCCGAGGCGGCGGTGTTGAGTGTGGATCTCAGCGGACCGTACAAGCTGGGCAAGGATATCAACGACGCTACGTCGAGGTACTTCCTCATCGGAACGTACACATGGCCTTCGGAGGAGGAGCAGAAAGAGTTCTTTCCAAAGGAGGATGGAGGAGAAGTAGACGATGAGGCAGACCTGCCAGAAATTGAGGAAGGAGAAAAAGAGGAGGATGAAAAGGAGAAGGAAGAAAGGGAGAAGGAGGATAAGGAGGAAGGAGAGGAGCCGCAGGATGAGAAGGAAGAAGAGAAGCGAGCTAAGGAAGCTTGTGGTCCACCGAGACCATTGAAAGTGATCGTGATGGTCGTGCCGCTGCCGGATAAGAGGGGGAAGACGGTGATGGAGGGGATCCAGCACCTGTACATCAAGCTGAAGAGACAGGGATACCCCATCCAGCGGTTGCACTCAGACAGGGGGAAGGAGTTCCTTAACCATGGTCTTCGAAGATGGTGCTTGGTGCGGGAGGTGGAAAAGACCACGACAAGTGCAGACTCTCCCCAGGAGAATGGAAGGGCGGAGGCATGCATTGGAAGCTTGAAGAGCAAAATCAGAAGGCTGCTGAAAGGAGCGGAACTGGCGGTGAAGTTTTGGCATATGGCGGCTAGGTATGCAGTCGTGGCAGAGAAGAAAAGGTTGAAGGGTGAACGGATGGTGGCGAGCTTTGGAGAAGAGGTGTGGGTTCCAAAGAGGTCCTGGAAGAAGCTGCAGGATCCGTTTGGGCCGACCCATGAGAAGGCGCGCTACTTGGCCGAGATCCCGGAGGTAACGAAGGGACATGGAGTCCTACGACAAGATGGAAAGATTGAGGTGGTGTCCAAGGTGGTGACTGGAGTAAAGGAACCCAAGGACGAGGAGCCAGAAGAAGAAGGAGAAGCGCACGTGGTGAGGAGAAGGATTAGAGAAAAGACCAAGCCGGAGGATTTAGGTGAGGAGTATAGCCGGTTGGAGGCTCTCAAGGAGCTCATCATGGAGAAGAAGGCTACTGCCAGAGACGAGGGGGAGGTTCTCGGGATCACGGCGGTGAAGCTGCGAGAGCTGCAGATAGAAGAAGCAAAGGTTCAGGAGATGTACGGAAAAGAAGAGAAGCAGGTGCTGCAAACGAGGATAGCAGGACCGGCAGAGGTGATGAGAGACAAGGAGGAATGGATCCCGGCTATAGAAGCTGAGATGAAGTCCCTTCTGGAGGAGAAGAAGGCGGTTCGCATCGTCACGGGCAAGGAAGCGAGAGAGATGATGGAGGACCCGAGATACAAGGTCGATCTCATGCCGGGAAAGATGGTGACGACTATCAAGGCACCCAACGGAAAGAAGAAGTGCAGGCTGGTCATCTGCGGAAACCATGCCGAAGGAGGAGGAAGAGATCAAGAGGAGTCTCTATATGCTGGCGGATCAGACGCGATATCCATTAGGACGGCGACGAAATGCGCGGCGGAGAACAACTGGGAAGGAGTAGTGCTGGACATCAAGACGGCATTCCTCAATGCTCCGCTACACGTCCAGGACAACAAGAGCAAGCAAAAGAAGGTCGTGCTGATGAGACCCCCGGCAGTGCTAGTACGGTTGGGACTTTGCAAGTCAGATGAGTACTGGGCAGTGGAGCGTGCCTTGTACGGCTTGCGGGAGTCGCCAAGAAGATGGGCGGTGTTCCGGGACGAGAAGGTTCGGACTTTGCGGTGGCAGAGAGGAGCGCAAAACTTCTGGATGGAGCAGTCCATCGCAGACCCGAATGTGTGGCGGATCATGGGAAGCCAAGAGAAGGATGAGGAGCGGCGTGGGACGAGCTCTACGGCAAGAACTGGAGGTCCTACTATGAGCGGAGGATCATCGACGGCAGGATCAATGGAGTGGACACAAGAAGGACACCTTCAAGGGCTGGCGGTGGTCTATGTGGACGACATACTGGCCTACGGAGGGGAGCAAACCCTGGAGGAGTTTGTCCACCAGGTGAAGGCAATGTGGGAGACGAGCACCCCGGAAAAGATACAGGAGAGCTCCAAGGTGCGCTTCTGCGGCATGGAGATCAGCAGGACGAGCCGAGGGTATTTCCTGGGGCAGCAAGCCTACACGCAGGAGGTTCTCAATCGGAACGGCGGAGGTGGACTTGGATCAGTTCTCCCTATCACAAGAGAGATGGCGGAAACCCCGGAGGAGCTGGATATAACGGCAGCCGAGGTTCAGGCAGCTCAAAGAACGGTCGGAGAAATCCTATGGCTGACCACGAAGACAAGGCCGGACCTGATGTACGTTACAAGCCGGATGTCATCGGCGGTGACGAAGGCGCCAAAGTGGGTCATGGAGTTGGCCGACCAGGTGTGGCGCTATCTGAAAAAGACAAAGGAGGTTGGGTTGTGGCTGGAGCGCCAGGTTGGAAATGGAGAGTCAGGTCTTGAAGGGAGGAGGATCGAGGTCTATACAGACGCGTCGTTTTCCCCTGGCGGTGGTCTCAGTCACGGTTCGGTGGCAGTACTGTGGAATGGAGGTGCTATAGCGTGGAGGAGTTCGAGGCAAAGCTTCCCTACTATGAGTACCGCGGAATCGGAGCTGGCGGAATGCTTGGAGGGCATTGTCATGGGAGAGAGCGTCGAGGCCTTGGTGGCGGAGATAGAAGAGGCTGCCGGGAACGCCTATGTGAGGCAGTTGTTGACGGACAGCTCGTCGGCTATAGCAATAGCCTCGGAAGGCAGCGGCAGCTGGCGGACTCGGCATTTGAGGGTGAGAGCGTACAACCTCAGGTGGAGGCTGGATGACCAGAGCTGGACTATTCATCATGTGCCGGGAGTTCGCATGCTGGCAGACCTGGGCACGAAGGCGCTCAGTGGAAAGAGAATGGAAGAGTTGAGGAGGCTCTGGAAGTTGGAGCAGTACGACGACCAGAAGGAGGAGGACGTCAACCAGGAGGAGCAGACGGGCATGGAATTGAGAGAGGAAGCCAAGCTCGCTGGCCAGAACATCCCGGTGGACGCAGAGATGGCCACGGGGGCAATCAAGGTGCTAACCATCGCGAGCCTGATCTCTCAGGTGCAGGCGGTCAAGGAAAAGTTGCCGGAAGGCGAGATAGAGGATGACGAGTCCCTCAAGGCGCTGATGACCCTGGTGAGTGTCTTGTCGATCGTTCTGTGCAAGCTGGTGGAGATGATGTGCACGCGCCAAGTGATACCGAGGATAAGAGCTATGAGGGCTCAAGGAGTTGGCGCCGACCCCGAGGAGGAAGAAGAGGATGAACAGTCAGAAGAGGGCTCTACCGCATGGAGGCGAGGAGCAATATCGAGGGCTCCGTCTACGGCAAGGTCAAGTGGGGCGGGGGCTTCAACGTCAAGTATGACAACGGGAAGTACAACTACGGCAAGAAAGAGCTCTACGGCACGAAGGGTGGAGCCTACAGCGAGGGGATCGACTTCGGCAAGTTCTGGTGCCAGGCAGCTGGGCGCATTGCCCAAGTTCAGGCCCAACACCAAGGGGGTGTCGAAGGGAAAGCAGAAGGGAAGAATGATCCCTCGGGCAGTTCATGAGACGGAGCCTGAGGATCGAGAAGGGGCTGACCCTGAACCCGACGCGGATGACGACTACATCCCCCTGGAGCCATCGATCTTCTTCACACCCTGTGGGGAACGATATCATGTGCGGCACGATTGCTATGGGCTTCGGAACGCTATGCGTCAGACAGAGGCGCTCCCGTGCCCCAGATGCTGCACTCCGGACTATAGGAGGCTGTTGCCTTCAACCAGAGGATCCCTCTACATCAAGCAGCCGGGCATCTACCATGTGGTGAGCCTTTGTGCGGATCCGAATCGCGAGGGGTTGCACTGCCTGACCACGTGCCGCTGCTGCTTTGAGGGGCGGGTGACATGGTGAACTATGAGTACGGCTTGAGCCTGGCACAGGCATTTTGTGAGGGCGAATTGCCCATAGAGCAGAGCCGATAAGAGGCCTTTAGTTTGGGCAGGTGCATGCCACATGGCATGGACCTGGGAGGAGTGCACAAATCCGACAATGGAAGCCGTTTTGCCCAAGGAAAAGCCCGCTGATTAGCAGAAACAATTGATCCATTCCCCACCTCACAAATGTCGCATGTGATGACACCGCCCCTTCGGACCTTGTCAAATCCCTATCCAATATTCGGCAACTGCCCCCCATGCGAGGCACAGTTGATTCCTCGAATACTGCAAGTAGAACAAAAAAACAGCACTTTGCCATGGCTTGCAGTTGGCCTTGTAGAACTTGGCCCTTTGCCTTTTGACCTCTTGTTAGGAAAATTCAGGGGCCCTCTCTGAGAGTGTCCTCCCACCTTTTGTTCCTCTATTTCCTCACTTTTCCGGAACTTAGGTTGAAAATCCGCCGTATCCGCAACCCCCACCCTCTGAGAGCCTCGCCGCTGTCCCAAGGCAAAGGATCTGGGCCCCCAGCGCATGCTAGCACCCACCATCTCGAGTGAGGTCTCAGGCGACTTTGCAGAAACTGGGTCCAATTCCGCAAGTCATCCTCGAATTACCCTAGCGAAACCGTGGTTTTAGAGGTCCCAGAAGAGCAATTCTGAGAATCCTTCACAAGATGCACTTCTCCAAACCCCCAACCCAAAAACTTTTGGTGGACGCTTGATTTAGTTCCTGTGAGCTTCTTGTTTCTGGTTTTCTGTTGCGTTCCCCACCCCAATTTCCAAGCGCAGTACATACCCATTGTTCATTCTCTGGTGACCCGCTTGATAATGGGTGCATAGACAAAGGCGTGAACAACCGGTACAAACACTCCCAGACAACATCAAGCGCCATGTAAGAGAAGACATACTCGAAATGGCAACATGAAACTGCAGAATTATGACCTGTCTGATCCTTCCATGCTTGTCTTTTTCTACGCGGAACCCGGCAACCCCCTGCTGGTTGGTCGACAGGGAATGAAGGAAGGAAATATGGAAATGAGGATGAAAAGGCCATAAGAGGAACATGAGTTTATACCTTAATCCATAGGAGCATCCTGAGTATGCTTGCTTGTTCTGAGTACTGTTGTGTTGAATGACCACATATCAATCAAGTACAATAACACAATCACAAAGCAAGTAAGATACTGATGTCTGCATGTGTGTGTTTCGCTCAGAATTTACATAGCACATTCGCACAAGAAGTACAATGAAAGTACTATATGCAAAGGAGCCCGGAATCCTGCCTTATCTTGACAATGAAAATATTTCCACCAAAGAAGATTACTATCAAAGGAACAAACGTATGTATGTTATTATCAGTACTAGCATTGTTTAAGATAGATAGAAACTCAACCACAAAGAATCTCTCTAATGTTGGACGCAGATCCACCGTACGATCCTCATGTTGGTATAAATTTTAAATGTTGATTGGACCCTGTGGACATCAAACAAACATGATTGAATGGAAGGTGACAACAGAAGGCGGCACGGTGGCAGGGAGCAGTGTGCCCAAGACCAAACAGGATCGCCACTACGCAACAAAGAAAAAACTGGATGCACTTGGGCCCCAATGCTTTGCTAGTGGAAACCAAAAGCAGTGCATCAACCGTTTTGGTGCGGGCAACACCCGGCCGCGCAAGAGAGTTTGTCCTGGTCCAGCTCGTGGCGCGCCGGCTTTACCCCAAAGCACCCGGAAGGGCTCGGCCCGGGAAAGCCCGGCCTGTGCCACGGGCAGCCTGGCAACAGACCCCAAACCACATCGGAAAGCGGAACACAAAATGTGTTTTATTCCCCAACAGCTGGAAGCTTTGGGGTCTCAGCCCAGATAGGCTTCGGAGTGGTCCGGGGCGGCCCTGAGGTAAGGTTCCACGAGGGTTGCACCAGGCGTCCACCAGGGTTCCACGAGGGTTCCACAAGGTTCTGCGAGGGCTGCGGGGTGGTGCGAGCACTAAGCGGAGCACCGCATGCCGCTGGGGATATCACATGAGCTTATTCAGTTTTCCCTAAACATATTGAAGTGAGTGCACGAAAACGAGGGGGCGCGCCAACCACGCTTCACAACATATTTCCATACCATGACAGAATTTGCTCCTACCAGGACTCGGAAATATGGTCTTACTACTTCAAAACATATAATAAATAATATCGATAAGCGCAATAGCAGGGCCTACTTTTATATGGGGATCCGTTTTGTCACAGATGCAGTCCTTTGTAGACCGAAAACGGACCCCCGCTCGAAAAGCGGATCCGCAAGACAACCGGCCCCTTTCTCAGAGGGATTGGCCAGGGATCCGCTTTTCGGTCTAAAGTGCTGGATTCCAGCTCGATGGAGGTTGTCTTGGAGGTTCCGGCATTCCTCTGGACGCACGAAGAGCCAGACGCAAAAGACGCAAAAGCGAACCGGAAGACATGGCTGCAGCACCCCCAGAAGGCACAGACGCCACGAGGCCACCACGTGGGGAAGTCACGCAGACCAAAGGCAACTGGGGCAGGAGACAGCAAACAGGGAATAAAAAAGAAAAAAACGAGGGCAGGGAGTACCGGGCAAAAAACGTCAAGAAGGGGAAGGTGGGTTCGGACCGCTGGAAGCGCGGTTGCTTGACTGGCCAAATGCCTCATCTGCTGGGCTTTGCGGCAGGTAGGTAGAGCTTTGCGCCCTTCGCCGGCAGCAAGAACACCACATCTCCACCCTGTTTTGGGCAAGGAGAGCCACAGCCAGAAAGTGATCGCAAGAACTCAGCACGCTGCCCCTCCTGACCAGCAGGCCGGACTAAAAATCAGGAAGGGCCAAGGAAGGCGGGCAAGGGAGGACAGGCCCGAGACCTTCGCGCGAAGGTGACGTTGGGGGGCTTAGGCGGCTTAAGGTCACCTTAAGGTCCTTCGAAGGTCTCCCCCCCGTTTGCCCCGGACGAAGGTCCCCAAGCCTTAAGCCCCTTAAGGTCCCCCTTAAAATCACCTGAAGGTCCTCCTTTCGCACTTGAGGTCACCAAAAGCCCAATCCCTCTCAAAAAGGGGCTGTGATGAAGGTCCGCGTTTCGAGCTGGATTCCGGCAATCCAGCTCAAAAAGCGGATCCCCGCCCAATCCCTCTGGAAAAGGGGCTGTGATGAAAAAGTGTATCCGGTTGGTCAAGCCCCCGTTCAAAACCTTTGGCCAAGGAAAGGAGAATCAGGAACCTTCAAACTTCGCCTCTTTCCCCCAAAGCTGAAACGAATCCATCTGGTCTCAAAGGCCGAGAGCTCCCTCAGGCCAGCAGTTGCTGGTCATCTATAAAGAAACATCTTTCCTGAGCCAGACAATGCTATGCAACCGTCCCCTCTCAGCCCGGAGTTTGCGCCTCTCCAGTTTGGGCAGCCGCGCCCGGCGAAGGGTGTCTTTATCCATCTTGTCCCTGCCCGGCGCTGAGGTCAATCTGTAACGGCCGTAACACAGCAACTGCCCTCGACTGGACAGAGAGTTGCAAACAACTCCAAAGATGGTCCGAAGACTAGGGAGGTTTGACAAAAAGCGATTTTGGGGCTTAATCTTCTTGCTTGTTCCTGGTTGGACATGACCCTATTGGGCTCTTGCATGGAACTTAGTCAGATTCAGCCCGAAGGCCCGTTCGAAAAACCTCGCCTTGCGCGAAACCAACGCAAGTGGAAATGGAAGTCCAACCAAACAGCCAACCAACTTGCAAGTCCGTTTCCCGCGGCTCTTCCCAGACCCACTTAGCCCACCACGCGGGGCCCCACCGTCTCCATCGGCGCGTCGAAACAAAAACCGCCTGGGGCTAGTGGAGTCCAGGCGTTTCACCGTCGCCTCAGCTTGCCATAGGCCTTCAGTTCTCGAAATGGGAAAAGACATTGAAGGGCATTGAAGGGTAGGGAATGCCGGGTACACTTCTCGCGGAACGCCTCTCTCGGAACCCGGCCGTGGTGTCCATGTCCGGGCTCCTGCTCGCTTTTGCAGCCCTTTCCAGCTGATTTTGCGTTTTTTGCAGATGGAAAGCAAAAACGAAAACCACCATTTTTGAGCCTCTCATTTTTTGGCTGCCAGGACTTGAGATCTCATTTGGGAGGCTCTCCAATTTGTTGAGATTCATGTTTAAAGGATGAACGGCCCCAAACCTGGCCGATCTCGGCAAAAATTGTGCAATTCCGCGAACTGGAGCACTTCCCAAAGGCTTAGCAACCAAACTCCATATGAGTCTACCGAAAACCATGCGGGTTTATCTCAAAATGAGATATGGAACCCAATAATGGGTGGTGGTGTCCTTTGGAAACTCCAAAGCACCCGAAAACAAAGACACAGCCATGTGAAGATTTAAAGGTGTATGTCGCAGTCACACCTGTCAATGGTTGGGACTGTCCCTTAATGACCTTCAGCTACAGTACAGTACCCTTTTCTTGTTGTGGCTCTCATGTCCCTCTGCCACAAATCCGCTTAACTCCACCATCTTTCAGGTTGCTGCCACATGACTCCATCACACCTCGCTCGGGGTCGGACGGATTCTAGCCACCAATCAAACGGGCTTGACAGGGAAACCAGTCATGTCAGGGAAAGCAGTTTCCTTGAGAACCAGGCAGCGAAAACAGTGGCGAGCCTTTTCCTGGCACTTCCAGCTCGGCGTCTCGATTCAAGGACGCCATAGAGCCACTTCTTCTATTGGAGCCACGCTAGGACCTAAAGTGTTTGTTGATGTATGCCCTGCAGGCGAGTCTTTCATCATGGGTGTTTCGGGGGAACGCGTGGGTGTTTGTTCCTCAGGACAGGCTGGAAAACTAGCCCCAACGTCCTGGCAAAACTGGCAAGTAGACTAGCAATATTTTTGCACAAGTTTCGCTCGCGCAAACCGAATAGTCTTCTCATGCTCAATCCTGGCTTTGGCCCCCAAAATAGGGGCAGAGACAAACTTCCGGCCCTCACAACAAACACCGAATATAGGTTACTGCTACGTCGGCCTTCGCAAAAACAAAAACGATGGGTTGCATCCAAAACACTGCGTCGCCAACCAGTGAGGTCCATTGACCTTCAGCTTGCCAGACAGCCCCCAGCCTCCCAAGGTTCCCAGTCACAGAGATGGACAGAGCAGTTGTCAGGCACCTGGAACCAGCCAGGCGTGCCCCCGACCTACACTTCCAACCGGGTGTTATGTCTTTTTTTCGGGTTACCAGGTGATTCCAGTTGTCAGAGTTATCGGAGTTTTGCCGCTACTTCAGCCAGAGGCAAGCGCTTGATCACGGAGGCAGGAAGGGAGCATTGTTAGGCTTCTTGGTTGTTTGAGGTCATGAGGGTCAGCGCGAACCAATTTTCAACTGAGTCCAGCTAAGCTTCGCAAAGGAAAACAGTCACTTCGGCACATGGGTGCCAACGAGAGACGCCCCTAGCTTAGCCACACCAGGGCAACTGTAAGTGCGTGGGGAACTGAGTAACTGCACTGCCAGCAGCTTCAGGTGCTGTTTGTTCTGCAGTTGGGACAATTATGCCATCTAAAGCCCAGTGAGAAACCAAGCTTCGCTCCGTTAATCTGCTGGCTGTTCCCTTCAAAACTCAGTCACCACCTTGTTCCTATCTAACACCAACTAAGAAATAGACATCGCAAACTCGGCAAATGGAAGTGAACCCAACTCAGCAGAACCTCGCCTGGTCGGGAGCGCCGAGGTCCAGTCCGAGCCCCTGGCCAGAAGTGGCTCAAAAGGGTTGCTTGCTGATTAACATGAAGCAAATCATCATGTAACCTATATTGACATATTCTATAAAGGTGATGTGTAAATACATATATATATATATATACATACATACACTTACATACAGATATGCAGACATACTATATATATATACAAATACAGAGTGTGCATGTATATACATATACATACATAAATATATATATATATATATAGGGAGAGAAACAGAGAGAGAGGGGGAGAAAGAAGAACAAAAACAGATCATCGTTGGTCGAGCTGTCTGCTGTTGGGATCTAGGGCTCGGAGCAACCCTGTTCCCAGAATTCAACCCTCGGGAGAAATTTGCAACACTCGGGTGAAGTGTGCGAATTCAATGAAAAGGAAAGGCCCGGCAAAGGACTACAATTCGCTCAAACAATTGCAGCTCCGAAACCCAACTTCGGTACAATTCAACTCTCCAAACATAGCAGGGTTTTCAGTTTTGCTAAGCAAAAAGTGAAATTCCAACTCCAAAGGGCCAAAATTAATGGCTTGCCTACGGTGCCGCCTGAAACCCATCCCGTCGGACGTCTCGAACTTGCTCGCGCCTGGTGGATGCGGACCAGTTGGACGCCCTGGGCGAACGGATGTGAAGCCAACAAAAACCTTTGAGGGTGCTATTCATTTTGCGAGTGGTCACCATATGTTGGGGTTTTGAAGGGACAGCGAAAGGAAAAAAGACGCCTTTCTTCTGTGGGGTACTCGTTTTGACAGAACACCAAGGAGACCACGCGCATTTTTGGGGTGCCCTTTTTTGGGCTTATTTTGAAGGGACACCTAAGGGCACACCATCCTTCTTGGTTAAAAGTAACCCCTCAATGGGGAGCCCCTTTTGGGAGCTACCCTCCCATCAACTACACTCTAGGGTGAAGAGGGAACCCCTCTTAAGACATGATTGCTTTTCGCCGACCCAACAAACCAATCTAATTTGTTTCGATGTCTCTTTGGCAATCGGACCTCCTTTTTTCGGGTTTGAGATTCCAGGTTGACTTGCAGCAGAGTTGGTCAGATGCTCGGACAATCTTCGACGGGTCTCCCACAAGGACATGGGTGTGTCGAAGAAATTGATCCGAAAACCGCCCCATTTTGAGGGGATGCCCCTCATTTGCCAAGGGAGACTTCATCGTTCTTGGCTGAGTATGCTTCACCTGGTCATTTCTACGATTTCCTCCATATCAGGCAAAAACGGCTTCGATGCCCCGCCTAGTGGCGGTGAAAGTCGTAGAGGCGGAGCCCCTGACGAGGATATCGGCTTCTTTTCGAAACCGTCTCCACAGTTTGACACACAGGCATGAGCAAGAACGGGCTCCGTGGCTGGCCTGTTTTGCAGCCCAACCGAATGAAAGCAATATCCTACACTCCCAAACGTCCATGCGAGCGGGAAACTTCCCCATTCTTCCATGGATGCTTCTTTGGCTGGCTTCTGAAAGAATGGGTGGTTGGATAAACCTTAGTCTTTGGGCCAAACAACTGTGTTCAAGTCACCCTTGGAGATCTCCTGGACTCCTGGAGTTGTTTCCCGCGACAGCTCGAATGACTGAGTTCTATGAGGCGCCTCAAAGCCCGAGCTGATTTTTGGTTCTACCAGCGGAGAGGGTTGCATAGGCTCTATGACCAGGTAGGAACGCTAAAAGACTAACCGCCAAGAGGAATCGGTTTTCAGGGTATTGATGGTGGTTTTGTGATACCAAAGTATGTGTTTCTCGGGGGGGGGGGGAAGCTATCTGCTGGCTTTCATCAACCCCTGCCCGCCTCGTTGGCGGCAGGGATGCCGAACTGGCCAGCCTGGCAAAACCCATGCCCCGCCATGCCAGCTTGGCATCGGGCACCAGCCGGCTTAGATCCCAGGGTGGGGATGTCATGCATCAGCCCCCTTCAAACCCTTTCCTTGCACATCCAAAGCAAACTGACATAACGTTTGACATCGACGACCAAGCGGTGGTGTGTCAAATGGCCTGAGTCACAACCTGGAATCAAACAGGTCTACAATGCTCGGGACTGTCCCGTACCACCCGCAAGTTGCCCGGGTTTGGATTTGGCTCACCAAGGATCATCTGGAGAGAATGGGAGATATGGCTTTTTGCTGACCCAATCTCTCTTTTGTGTGATGTTGCTGTTGCCGTTGCTTCACCGAATTGAGCTTGACCTTTGTGATTCTCCTACATCCCAAGGTGTGTGTGAGTGTGGTGGTGTTGTAGTTCTGACTAGCGTGATGATTGAACATGGCAAGGCGGCGAGTTGGCCGGGGTGCTGACATGGGTAGGCGAGCGAGAACCCCATGTACAAACCCTGAAGGATGCTGCCGGAGAGGTCCAGTCTGGCAACATCGAAGTCACCCTTTTTTTAAGGAATGTGTTGAAAGGTGAGAACTACCTATATTCAGCACGGGCGGCAAATACTTTTTGTTCTTGAGCCATATGATGATGGTTTACCACTACTAATCAACACCCCCCGCTTTGCGGAGGAGCGTTGGGGAACACAGTACCATATACGCTATTCCTCCAGGCCTGTAGCAAAGTCATTGGACCTCAGCACGGTGAGAGGCAAGTCATGGCAAAGCTGATTCATCCACGGTTGCTTCAACTGCTGTGTCCTCAAGGCAGCTGGCACACGATTGATTTTCGCAGGAGCGATACCTGTTGAGTCGGCCGACGACGACTTCCGTCGGGCGCTTCACATGACTACGCATGGGAAGATTCGAAGTAGAAATGAATTCGCTCTGCTGCTCCAAACGGTGGTGATCTCACGACCACAGCTTCCGCTGGGCAGAAATGATATCGTCAGTCGGCGGTGGCGGCCATGCATAGCAAACGGCCGCAGCTTCCGCCGGGCGTGCAAAAGTAGCACAGCTAATGTTGCAGCATCATTGGATGAATGGTAAAAAGGTTTCCAACATGACATCACCAATGAACTTAATCTGTCACCATGCAACAAAAGCTATGGGATCAGCCTAAATGCGGGCGCTCACCATCCCCACGGTCCCTGGCGCCACTGATCCCAACCTCGCGACCAGCCATAGTTCCGTGCCAATCGGAGTATCCCTTGCCCTTGCCCTTGGCCTTGCCTTCCTTTGGTCGATCTCGCAATGGCCCTCCACTGGGTATTCTTGGCCTCGACGGGGTAGGTCTTGGTGCGGCCAGAAGAGAACTAAGGGATTTCCTCGCCTGTGCTGATCATGCCCTGAGGATCGAGCTTTTTCCATGACGCTTTGATGAAGCTCACCATCACTCCAAGGATCTGTTCGATGCTCCCTTCCAGGGACGTATTGCCCGCTGTGCCCAACAATGATTGGCACTTGGTTGTTCGGAACGAACCTGAACGCGCACATCACGGCAAACTGCATCACGGTATAGAACCGCGCGTGGTGGGCAATGTATGCTTCCGTCGAAACGTTCAACTCATGCGGGTCGAGCTTTCCGGGGGCCGGGATGAAAACCAACTTCGTCCTTGTGTTCTGCGATCCCCCCTTGTCGCGCTCTTCCCTTGTTCGGCCAGGGTCTGTAGGCGTAGAATGGGTCGATTGACAATCGATCCGATCCGAAACCCTCGTACAGCCCATTGTCTGTGCCTTGGTGAGGTGGGTCTTGGCCGTTTTCCTGAGCGACGCCTCGACGGAGATTCCTCCCTGCTTATCACCTTCCTTTGCATGGTGCTTGGACCTAATCCACTTGCCACCGCCCCCCTGAAGGCCCTCAAGATAGAAAACCATGTTCTGGAGGGCGGCCGTGCGCTCCAGCCTCACGACCTCCGTGGCAATCCTTGCGTCAGTCCATTCCACCATGTCAGATCGGCACTCTTGGCAGTGAAGATGGCCATCAATCTGCCAATGGCCGCATCTCCGGTTCCAGCACTTGATCGTTGGGATCTTCATCATCGTGGTGAAGAAAAGATCCTCCCAACCGCGCCCCTGCTTCTTTTTATTTTTGGAGAGTTCGGGGACTCGTCGAAGCGTTGCAGGCGCAACCTGATACGTCGGTCCTGCTGGCCTTGCGTTCGACTGCCCCTTCCAGGGAGCGAGCTCGTCGACAATGGCAATTTCGGCGACGGCCCCAGGCAGTAGCCTGCCATTCACGGTGCCTTCAACCACTTTCCGCCAGTGTCTCCATGCTTTCTCTGCCGTCAGGGTGTTCTCGCTCTTGAAGAAGCTCGGGTTCACTCTCTGTGGCCCGGGCATGAGCTCCGCCGTCAGCGCTGCGCGGTACCTTTTGCGCATCTCCGGGTAGGCCCGGTGGAAAGACAGGAACTCGTTCTTCCTGGTGTGGAACGCGTAGGTGATTTACGCGTTGCCCACCCAGTCAGCCGACATGAATGCTTCGTCGCTGGTGAACAATCTGATGCCATCTTGCATCATGAGTTCCGTGTCAAATGCAACCGTGACGGGCCTTCCGGCTTGCGTTCCCGCTAGCTTCCGCATCTGGGCCTATGGCGGTGTCGGATTGAAGTACACCTGGGCCCTGCCCGTATCCGCCCGGCACAAGCCCATGCTGAATGATCTCCGCGGACCTCAAGTCGCATGTGTGATACAGACGGCAGGTCGGCGCCACAGGGCGGTCCGCTCCGCATATGGCCTGTTCCGTATACCTCCTTGTCAGTTCATTGTGATGCCCCTGGACGGCCCTGACCCTCAATGCTTGATACGGCAATCCTTTCCAGGATGCTTCCCTACATTCGGTGACCCGGAATCGCTTCGTGTCATTGTTGCGGATGCAAACCATGACCTCCCACCGCCTGACATTGGCAATCCGGTCATTGAGGTGCCTCACCAGTGCCTCAAATTCCACAGAAAGGTCGATTCCGCAAAAGGGGGGGTGGCTTCCCGTCCTTGAACCCCCCCCCCCAGGACATTTTCTTGGAGATTGCCACCAACCTGTAGTCACGGTCCAATTCACCTTCGGGACGTGACCCATTTCCTTGACCTCGGTGGCGGTGGCGTTGGCGGCTGCTTGACTGGTAACCTCCCACGGAATCACCTCAGCCGTGTCGGACTCGGCAACTTCCAATACCAGCTCCAAAGATGCGACAGTCTCCTGATCAAAGGGGTCGCCCTCAGCTTCCGGCGCAGCGCGGTGAACACCTGGTGGCAGGCTCGTCGGGTCCCACCCGAAGTCCTGCGTGTCATCACCCAACAGAAGCCACTTATTCTTGTCTTCGTCGTCGGGTTCAACAGACAAACCGTGCTCAGCCGCCGTGTTGCCAATGTACTGGGACATGGCGATCTCCACCCGATCGAACTCGTCGTCCGAGTTCTCGTCGCCTTTGTCCACCGCCTCGAGGATGATCTCGGCCCGCGTTGCCCTTCATCTCCAGGGTCATCGCGTTGTAGGGCTCGCCCTCCGCCTCCTTCATCCAGGCGGCGACATCGGGTCTCTTGGTCGTGAGACCAGTCGGGCCTCTCCTCCGTGGCCGCAAACTCCTGCAGGGCTTTTGCCAACCTCAGGCAGGTGGGCCACCCGAACAAAACGGGATCGACCGGCTCCCCCCGCACGTAGGGCTCGACGCTCCCGTATCCGCTGGGCCAGCAGTTGAGTATTGATGGCCGCATGTAGGAATTTCGACACAACCTTCCGGTTGGCGTTGCTGTACGTCATGTGGACGTCATCGTACCGATGCGACAGCAGCGTCATCACTGACGCATCACTTGAGTCGATAGCCTTGCTGCGAACCCCATCGTCGATGACCACGTCGGCGAGGTGCCGGAGGCAGCCGTTCATGGCATCATTGTAATCCGAGGTGAGGCCATAGTCCTCCACATCCGGGTTGCAAATGAACGTGATGTCCCGAATGCGCCCGAGCCCGACAGCCTCCTTGAAGAAGTCAAGCTGCTCGTAAACACGGGTCCTCTGAACCTTTGGCCATTCCGACGCTGCCTTCCGGCCCGCCTCCGTTCGGTTGAACCTCTTCTCGTGGATCCAGCGGCAGCCAACGTACCCATAGTTGCCGAAGACATCGTTGCCCCCCCACATCACGAAGACGGAGATGAGCAGTTGCTGGATGCTGATCAGCTTTTGGAGCAGCTTGGCCACGTGATGCTTGGTGGGATACCTGTCATTGGGCTCTTCAACCCTAGCACATGACGAATCACCAATGACCAAAATGTCGACCTCCTCTTCCGAGGGGCATGGCACAGCACGGAATTCCGCGGGGGCATTCCGTCCCAGAACCTGTATCATGCCATCTCAGAATTGCTCCCGGCTAGGGTTCCCCCCAGCATCACTCCCGGCCGGTGCCTGCTCCTGCGCCGCGATTGTCCTTGTAACCGTGTCTGGCTCAGGGATCGTGGCAATGGCAGCTTGCGTCTGGAAGCTTGTCCCATTCCACCAAGTTGTTGATGGTGCGCTGGTCTTTTTTCAACACGTCGTTGAGCAGGACATCCACGGTAGGCGCAAGGGACGACATCCTGATCGCAAGGGTGGCAGATATCACACGGGGAGCAGCTGAGAGCGAGAATGCTGCGTGGATCGCATCAGTAAGTACCTTCAGCATTCACGATACCTACAGCACATCCGTCAAAGTCACACTTGTTTAATCCGTGCTTGTCAAGGATGCTTTTCACCTTGGGAAGCTTCCAGTACGTGCATCCCTTGGGCCACTCATGGCGATTGATGGGTTTTGATGCCCCATTTCATCCAAGAATGCCTCAAAAGACTTCCACAACACGTTGAACAACTTCCTATGATTAGCAACCTTCTTCCTAGCTGAGGGAATCTTGTTGTTTATAAAGTTCCATGGTGCCCAGATTAGCACATGTTGAAATCGGCTTGCAAAATCAACTGCTTTTCTTCCGTTTTCACTTTGGTTGAAATCATTATTGGGGGTAAACCTGAACACCTGGCATCCAGCTGCAGTGGATCTGCTCACGTCACCAAGCTTGGAATCCTCTCCACTGCACACTTCAATGATGCATCTGGGAGTTGGGCATGGTGCCGCGGCAGCAGGTTCCCCTGTGCGTCCGTCCGTCCTGGGGGACGATCCGCGATTCTTCAATGTATCCGGTTTGAGATTGGTATGACTGATTAGCTTGAGCGCTTTGTTCCATTTGTCACTATTCGTGAAAGGACCGTGTCTGCACTAACCAGTTGGTAGTGCTTCCTACGGAACTGTTCCGCGAACCAAGCTAAATTCACTCTTTGTGTTTTATCCGTGTGACGAAATGCTGGGGATTTGCCGGATTCCAGGATCCTTAAGGTCGACTGATTGTCTTCGACAAACACTCCTCTAAGACACTTGGGTCCAAACAATGAAACACTCGCCGAACGTCTCCCACGTAGTCCCAATCCGTGACGGCTTCCCTGATTTCGGTGGATTCTATTTGGTAGTCGACGTCAAACATTCCATAAACTCGAAACAGTGTTCTTCCCGTCCATCCTTTCACAGGCCCATAGGCTTGAAACCTCCAATCATCCTGCATCTACCTCCGCATTTTCGTCAATCCTGATAGTAGTTCTGGATCTACCTAACATTTTGCAATCAACGGGGCAGTCTTTGGTGGATTTGGGATCGAACAAAGTATTCCTAACGCGTTTGTGCACTCTAGACAAAATGAATCTGTGTGGTTCGTAAATCCAATAGTCCCCAGAACTGACCTTGGTTACGACCCTGCCTTCCGGCAGGCTCTTCGTGCTAATTCCCCCGCGTTCTGGAGGTACGCCCACAGACCGGCAGAAGGAAGTCCGACTGCACGAAGGCTCACGTTGGCTGCAACAACCTCACTTTCGGTGGAACTCATCGACACCGAGGTTTGCTTTTTGCTGAAGGCTGCCAAGGCATCATCGGGTCGATCGGATGCCACACACACGGCCTCCCGAACCTTGATGCGCCAGTTCCTGTAACTTTCAGGAAGTGGAAAAGCAGGAATGACGATCCTCTCTGCTTCTTTGACCTTGGGCTTGTCGTGATCGGCGTCCACTGTGGGCGCCTGCTTACCCAAAATCTTGTTGAGCTTCTTGCGGATCGCACGGGCTCTCTCCGATGATGAGGACGAGGAGGATGAGGTTGAGGAGCTAGAGGATGAAGAGCTGGGTGAATCAGAAGGAGATCGACTCTTTGGCTTCTTGCGGCTCTTCTTCTTCTTCCTGTCCTTTTTGCTCTTCTTCTTCTTGTCCTTCTTTTTCTTCTTCTTGTCCGTCTTGCTCTTCTTTCCATCATCATCTCCATCGTCATCGCCGTCGCCAGCATCATCATCATCATCATCATCATCAGGATTGCCGGCAGGTGGTTCCCCACCGCCTCCGCTCTGGCACTTGTCTTTGCGCGATGGATTCTTGTCTCCATCATCTGGATCCTGAGCTGGGGATTCCTCGCCATCACCACCCGGATCATCGGCGGCACCTGACCCATCACGGCGGAGTTCGGTGGAAGCTGACCTGATACGTGTCTTAGAACTAAGGTCCAGGCCGTGAGGAGGAAACGGCTGTACAGGAGAGGCCTTCGGCCTGAGTCCGAAAATCGGAACATTGGACGAACTTTCAATTCATGACGTAGTGCTTCAATGTCCCTTGATTGCTTCATGATGATCTCTCTCATCTCGGCCGCACTCCTGTCGGCATCCTCCTTCTGCTTGTTGCTCTTGTTGACATTCATTGATGTGGTTCACCGCGTCCTGGTAAAGTCGGCCTTTTTCCTCAACATGGCCTGCGTGTAGTTGATTGATTATGGCGTCATGGCGTGCCGAAGCATAGGCAGCCACTTCTTCCGTACTTGGACCTGTGTTGACCACATTCACTGTCTGACTATGTTGGTATATGTTCGGGGCACACACATGATGTTGATGAAGATGGGTCTTGTTCTTCGTCATGTGTGCGTGCATCTCTTGCCTTGGTCGATGTCCGGTGAGAGGTTCCCCTCCGCTTCCCATTGAATCCTCCGGGAGTACGACCGAGGTGATGGGCACGAGCGCATCGCTTGGTCGGACTCGGGAAAACTGCTTCGGGAGCGCTGTGACGGATTGCATGGCGTTTTCCCTTCCGGATGTCCGCCCTTGATCAATTCGTTGGCCACTGCTTCGTTCAGCCTCGCGATGTCAGGGTGGCATCCGTCGCCGCTTGACGCCATGGCGGCGCGGGTGAGAGCTGACTGTACAAGGTACCAGCGATACGGCTGATAACCTGTTGAAAGGTGAGAACTACCTATATTCAGCACGGACGGCAAATACCTTTTGTTCTTGAGCCATATGATGACGGTTTGCCACTACTAATCAACAGAATGGAAGGCGTCTAACTCAAATCCATGGTTACGTCGACCCGGGCAAATAAACCCGTTCCAGTAATAGCAGGTTGTTCCCCTCCAAAAGTGACGATGCCAGAAACACCTCGTATCAATGAACTGGGGTTGATCAATCTGGAGTGAACATTCAAGAATAGCTTCACCAGCACCCACCCCCGCCTTTGTGTGGGCTGATTGCGCGCCTCCCCTTTCACTGAGCTCAAGAGTTTGAACTGCCAATAACTCTCGTAGGCTCACATAGCCGCTAGATCATTTGGAGATTCCAAACAAGTTTCCAGCTGCACAGGTTTAACCTGTTGCTCCTATGGGCCCTGGAAATCAAAGCTGTCGCTCTCAGCTCCGGGCAGCTTGACGCCAACCGCATTGAGAGCAAAGTCCTGCCGGTCTCGGGCAAGGGAAACCAGACAACAGCCATTGCCTGATCTGGGCGTGGTCTAATGAAGTCCGCGGCCTGAAGAGAAGAATACGGAGTCCTTTGCAAATGGCCAGCCTCTTGTTTCGACTGCTTTCAAGCCTGGTTGCGCGCCATCGAGCTTCGGGGCCATTTTCGGGGATACCCGTCTGGGATCCCCCTGAAGGCGGCAAAGTAATCATAGGGGTGGAGAGTCACTTATTTTCGTATGACACCGGCGATGTGGCCCGTTCGGCTGCTTATTTCCGATCGCTTATTAGAAGTTAGAACCCCTATAGCTTTCAGCTATCCGTGGAACGACAAATAAATTAAACAAAAGAAAACCGAAGGAAGTCAGCTTCCAGCCCATAAACAAACAAACAAACAAACAAACAAACAAACAAACAAACAAAGAAACAAACAAACAAACAAACGAGCAAACAACAAAATGCATAAACCAAGAATGAATGAACGAAGGAACGAAGGAACGAAGGAACGAAGGAACGAACGAACGAACGAACGAACGAACGAACGAACGAACGAACGAACGAACGAACGAACGAATGAATGAATGAATGAATGAATGAATGAATGAATGAATGAATGAGTGAGTGAGTGAGTGAATCAACCAATGAATCAAGGACTCAATATGTACATGCATATATTTATATACATGCATTTAAAGAACAAAAATAGAGTTGCAACGAGCAGCCTTTTCCTTCTTTGCCCGCTGCTTTCAAATTCATCGAAACACGATGGCTTTCCTTTTGGCTTTCCCTTAAACTACAGTGAAAATGGTACCCGGATAGACGACTTCTTGCATCAATTGACAGGTAGTTTGAATGGGGTTTCATTCATCCAGCATTTCGCCCGTCCGCAGTTCCCCGCCCACTCTTTTCGGTCGTCCTCAGTGGGACGCCTGCACTGCGCCGCAGAAAAAGGGGGCTGCGCAGGGATGGAGGGGTAAGAATTACAGATATGGGGAATACAGACGCAATATGGAACAGTGGGTGTCTTTTGTTGTCCATGTGTTTGTCCAATCAAAAGTGGTCTGCAGCTATGGTTGGAGCAGTTGAGACTCACTTTGCCTCCAGAGCTCTTGGGGCAATGCGCCTGCGCACAAACTCCAAAACGCATCTGCCGACTGCAAACATTCTTGCGAGACTCCTCTACTTGTGCAGGCAATTGGAGAAGCCAGGAGGTTCTTCAAGCGCTGTGTTTCCAAAAATAGTTTCTTTTTGGTTTTCGCTCAAGCGCCATCCAAGGTATCTATCCTCTTATAGCACATTTGACCACTGCGCATTTCCAGCGCAGCCCCCGGCACTGCAACTGTCATGAGCCACGGTTAGAATGAGTTGTCCGCAAGAGGACATGAGAAACTTAATGAGTCCCCTGGTTCTCGCAAAAAACTCAGTTAAGTTCCCCCAAATACCACAGACTACTAGTCTTTGACCAATCCGCATATACCAAGTCCCCCCAACTGCAGTCCTTCCCGCAGATTCAGCCCGTGCCTGGATCGACTGGCCATGTCAGCCTCGGGCCAAAGCGTGAGGTCCCAGTGCAGTGGGGACACGTGTTAAAACAACGGGGGTTGATGTTGCCGTTTGAATTGTAGGCTCCCAAATTTGCAGCCTCATGTCAGCTTCACTGGACGTCCAACAACAACCTGACGAACATCAAAGCCATGTCGTCTGGGGCCGGGACAAGCACATCACCGGGCCATGTCCTTCACCTGCGAAGGGGGGAAACTGGGTCGTTACACAGTTGTCAAGTTGATGGTTACTGAAAAAGAGAGTCAAAGAAGCTGCACATCCGATTGTGGGCGCTGACGCAAACACAGTGCGGGTCTGCCCATAATCCTTGTGAAACGTTAAAATTGCCCAAGATTCAAAAAAAAAGAGCCCGCCTTTTGGTTGGACGCGTGTGTGATCCCGCTTTCGCCCCCCAAACTCACCCTTGAAGAGAATGAAATGCACAAGCATAGAAATCGGAGCGACTCGCTGCCTTGGAGCTGCCCCCACGCAACGGAAAATGCACAAGCCAAAATGCCTTCCAGTGAGCGGTGAGCGCCCCAAACTGTGGGGGGGTGTAAAATTGGGAATTGAAGGGAAACCACCTTTTTGGGGATCACGACTGGAACCAAGCAACACGTTTCTCAACTTTACGCCTTTTCCCATGGGGTTCATTTTGGGTAATCCTTCTTGTGTTGGGGTTCCTTGCGCAAACAGATCCACCCAAAAACTGCTTCGTCACATCACCCCCAATCCGTCTCATGCCCGTCAGATCCACATGTTTTTAAGCAGTTCCACCCTCGAAAGAGCTCAAAACGTGTCAAAACGCCGGGAAACAAGGCCCGGCACGCTGGAAAAACACGCGCGAACCCAACACAAAGGCGGAGGAGGACCTCCAACACAATGCAGTTGTCCGCTCTCTTTTTTTCCCCGTGCCGCTTTGCTACGATGCCGGGGACAGAGTGACAACCAATTGGTGCCACCTCCCCCCTGGAACTTCGAGAAAAAGACAGCAACGCGAAAAGAAAACAGCAAACAGCAACCACAACACCGAAACACAAAGTCCGCCGACATTGTTCGGCGTGTCGGATACATAAGAGAGGACTATTGGATACCTAAGAGAGGATAGAGGATCCCCCCTCCCCCCTCCTACCGCGCGGCAATTTGATGACGTTCCACTAAACGTAGTCTTCGGGGAGCCGGTGTCGCAAAACAGGGGTCCCAGGCTCGATTCCCCCTGCCGGCTTTTTGGCTGGCTTGGGCTTCTTGCATCCTTTTGCCGAAAATCTGGAAAAAAACTCAATGTTTTTGGTCGTCCTCTTTGCGAAAACGCAGGAAAACCGTGCTTTTTGCGGAAAATACTGGGGAGCAAAGGGGAAGTGCAAGGATACATACATGCATACATTACATTACATTACATTACATGACATGACATGACATTACATGACATTACATTATATACATACATACATACATTACATACATTACATACATTATATACATTACATACATACATACATACATACATACATACATACATACATACATACATACATGCATGCATGCATGCATGCATGCATGCATACATACAACATACATACATTACAACGCACTACATGAATATTACTTACTTACTTACATGCTTACATCGTGCGTACATGCGTACATACATACATGCATACATACATACATACACACAGACCATACATAATACATACATACATACATACATACATACATACATACAGACAGACACATACAGACAGACAGACAGACATACACACAGACATACATACATACATACACACATACATACATACATACATACATACATTACATACATACATACATACATACATACACTACATACATACATACATACATACATACATACATACATACATACATACATACATGCATACATACATACATACATTACATACATGCATACATACATAGATACATACATACATACATTACATTACATTACATTACATTACATTCCATTCCATTACATTACATTACATTCCATGCATACATACATACATACATACATTACATACATAGATACATACATACATACAGTACATACATACATACATACATACATACATACATACATACATTACATTACATTACATTACATTTCATTACATTACATTACATTACATACATACATACATACATGCATGCATGCATGCATACATACATACATACATACATACATACATACATACATACATACATACATACATACATACACACCATACCATACATACATACATACATACGTACATACACACATACATACATACATACATACATTACATGCATACATTACACTACATTACATTACATTACATTACATTACATTACATTACATTACAAACATACATTACATACATACATACATACATGCATACATACATACTTACTTACTTACTTACATTACATACAAACATGCATACATACATATGTACATGCATACATACATACGAGAGAGGGAGATTGGGGAGAGAGAGGCTTGGGGGTGGTGGGGAGGGAGAGAGGACAACAGAACACACAAGGGAGACAAGGGAGAGAGGAGGAAGGACAATGTCGGCGGACTGAGCCGGAGGCTTTAAAGTTTCCCAAGGACCAGCCAGGGGTTCGATAGACTCGAAATTCTGTCGAGACTCTCAATTCCGACCTTGGGACCTCCAACGCCTCACTGGATAACCGCACGTTTTGCGCAGTCAGGGCTGCTACCCCCACTGCGGAAAACTCCCAACGCACTCTTCAGACCTCCTCTGAGCCAAGAAAGCCTGAAGAGGCAGGAAGTCGGCTAAACTCGTCAATTCCGGCCTTTGAAGTTTTCCGCAGTCGCCTTTTTGAGGGGCAACTGCGGAAAACCGCACGTTTTCCGAAGTAGGTTCGGGATTTGTACGAGCAACTGGTCGGTCTTCTCGACCAGTCCCACGCACAAATCCGAGACTTTCCTCAGATCCTCGTTGGCATGTTTGGGGGGCGACTTCGCGCAAACACTCCTAAGAAAACATGTTTGACCTGTCACCGGGAACATCCCGGAGGTCCTGGACAACGGAGAGGTAACGGAAGGCACGCACGTCACCGCAGCTGGCCCTCCCTACACGCGCAACGCTGCTGCCATCCAGTCCCTGGACAACCGGTCACTGCAGAGCTGGCTTCGAAGCTGGACAGCAGCGCATTGGCGCCGGCAATCGCACGGCCACGGCAGCAGCCCTGGCCACCACGGACGGGTGGCTGTGCACGGGAGCAGCATCGCCGCGCTGCAGAGCTTGCTGACCACGGGTCTCCAACAAGTCGCACCAGTCGGCCTTCGAGCTGGTGGCCACGAAAAGCACCCCCGACGGCGTGGACCTGAAGCTGTCGAACCACAGCACCACGGCAGCTCCATCGCTTCGGCAAACAACGCCGCGCTGGCCACGGTGGCTGCCAACTACGGCCTCAAGACGGTGGTGGACCAGCACTGCCTCGACATCGCAGCGAGGATCACGCCCCTGGAGCCGACACCAAGGTAGCCAACGCTCTCCTGGGCGTCGTCACCGCCGCAGCGCTGGCCTCAGAGCTCGCAAGCCAAGACAGCTCGCAAGCCAAGACGCCTCCATCTTGGTCGACACTGGAGGTGGGCTGGAAGATTGCAGCCGCCCTCCTGGACGCCGTGACCGGCAGCCCTCGACGCCGCCCTCACCGGACGCTGGCCGCCCTGCTTTCCACGGTGGACGGGTTGGACACGCCGCTGGACGTAGACACCAAGATAGCAAATGCCCTACTGGGTCTCGCCACCAAGACCTTCGTCGCAGCGCAGCTTGCAGCCGGGATGCCAGCATCTCAGCGCTCCACGGCTCCAAGGCCGACGCGACGCTGCTGGCCTCGTACGCCACAAACGCCGCGCTCTCGCAAGACCACGCTCCAGAGCGCCCTCGACGCAATCGGGAGACGACCAGCGCCATCGCAGCTGCGCTGCTGGCCTACTACACCTCGGCGGAAGTTGGCCGACTACCGGACGGCGAGCGCGCAGGACACACAGACGCAGGCCGCCATTGCGGGCGAAGGAACCAGATCGGCCGACCAGGACACGGCCACGGCCTCGCTCAGCTGCTACACCATCACGGAGTCACGGAGGCAGCTTCGGCCCTGGAGATAGCTGTGAGGGGCCGACGAGGTCGCCCGGAAGAGTGCACGGCTACACCCTGACCCTGCCTCCAACTTCGTGGTGTAACGACCCCCTGTACGGCAGCTTTGTGGGGGACAGGGCACCATGGCAAGATGTACTTCACCGTGCCCCCTACAGGATTGCGAAGCTGCACTTTGGGGCGCGCGCCGTCTACGGCCTCAACCCTGGAGGCCGCCAACTTGACAGAGGCACGAGTTCCTCGACGGCTCCGACGACTTCACCTCTCTCTTTAGAGGCTTCCCCAAACGGATTCCATTGCACCTGGGAGGGTTCTGACACTCGTCCGTCCAGGAAACGACCTCGTCCTGCGAAGGGTTCGAAATCTAACATGCTGCGTGCAGGCGTGTGGCTGCAACAAAACGAGCCCCTAGACATGCTTGCAATTTGCCTCCAGGCTGCACTTCAGCAAGCCGAGCGTTGCAGGGCTAAGAAAAAAAGAAAAAAAGAAAGGAAAAAAAACTCCCCAAAAAAAGGGGGCCCAAAACAAAAGGGAAAAGGGGCTTCCTTTGGGAAACCTCGACTTGCTGAAATGCAACCTGGAGGCAAATTGCAGCGCATATCTAGGGGTCGTTTTGTTGCAGCCACACCTGCACGCAGCATTTTAGATCCTTCGCTGGACGAGTGTCAGAACCCTCCCAGGTGCAATAGAATCCGTTTGGGGAATAGCCTCGAGAGAGAGCTTGCCCTTGTCAATATTGGTCCATTATTGACTTTCCGTCGATTCAAGATGACTCAATATTGACTCAATATTGCTTCAATATTGCCTCAATATTGACTCAACAATGGCCTGGTATCGAAGCCTCGACGCCAGCCTGCCGAGCCGCGCCACGTCCTGCCTGGTATCGAAGCCTCGACGCCAGCCTGCCGAGCCGCGCCAGCACGCTCCGCATACTACGTCCGTATGCTCCGCGTACTACGTTTGTACTTAAAAGCTGCGATTTCAAGCCGGAGCTGCCGCGGACCAGGGGGGAATCGAACCCGCGACCGCGGGATTGCGAAAGCAGGCGCGCGAGCCACGAGACAACTTCCAAAGGCCATTTCGCGAGCAACAACTTCGCACGCAGCGAGAGCGCTTCGACACGCACGCTCCCCGCAGAGGGTCGCGCGCGGCTTGCAGAAATCGTAAAAAGCCCTCAGGTTTTTTAACCTCGACCACGCGAATCTCCGCAGAGGGTCGCGCGCGGCTTGCAGAAATCGTAAAAAGTCCTCAGTTTTTGAACCTCGACCACGCGAATCTCCGCAGAGGGTCGCGCGCGCACCGCAGAAATCGTAAAAAGTCCTCAGTTTTTTAACCTCGACCACGCGAATCTGCGCAGAGGGCCGCGCGCGCACCGCAGAAATCGTAA